AATAAAAGCTAGAGTGATTATATAATACCATATAGAGTACCTTTCGGAGCAAAGAATTTTACCAAGGATGAAAAAGGCCAACTCATGATGATAAAGCAACTAAATTCATCAAGAGGACACAATTCTAAACATTTATGTACCTAAGAACAGAACTTCACAACACATGAAGTGAAAACTGACAGAAATGCAAGGTGAAATAGACAAATTCACAATTATAATGAAAGATTTCAATAGTCTCCTTTCAATAACTGATAGAGCATGTAGACAGAAAATAGTAAGGACATTCAGAAGATGACCAATACCATGAACCATGTTGATCTAACTGACATTTAAAGAATACTCCACGCAATAAAAGCAGAATACATTCCTTTCCAGTACACATAGAATATATACCAAAATAGACCACATTCTGTGCCATAAACAAATCTCAATAATGTTTTAAAAGAATTCAAGTCATACAAAGTACGTTCTCAGGGGAATTAAATTAGGACTCAATAACAGAAAGGTATTTTCAAAATATCCAAATATTTGAATGTTAAATAACACTTCTAAATAATATACAGGGCTGGATGCAGTGGCTCACACCTGTAATCTCAGCACTTTGGGAGGCTTAGGCAGGAGGATCGCTTGAGCCCAGAAGTTTGAGAAAAGCCTGGACAACATAGTGAGACCCCATCTCTGCAAAAATATAAAAAATTAGCTGGGCATGGTGGCAGACACCTGTGGTCCGAGTTACTTGGGAGGGGGAGGTGGGAGGATCACTTGAGCCCAAAGGTCGTGGCTGCAGTGAGCCATGAGCATGCCACTGCACTCCAGCCTAGGCGACAGAGTGAAAACCTGTCATTAAAAAAACCCTAAATAACACATGGGTTAAAGAAAAGAAAAAGAGAAATTAGAATGTAGTTCAGCTGCATGAAAATGAAAATGAGAACAATATCTAAATGTGTGGTATACACTAGAGCAGTATATAGAAATAAATTTTTATTATTTTTGTTTTTATTTTTTTAGAGACAGGGTCTCACTTTGTGGCCCAAGCTGAAGTGCAGTGACATGATCATAGCTCATATTGCATGGAGTATTCTTTAAATGTCAGTTAGATCAACATGGTTCATGGTGTTGGTCATCTTCTATATATCCTTACTATTTTCTGTCACCATAACATCAAACTCTTGGGCTCAAGGGATTCTTTTGTCTCAGCTTCCCAAGTAGCTAGGACTACGGGTGCACACCACTACACTCAGCTAATTTTTCAAAAATTTTTCTAAAGATGGGGTCTCGCTATGTTGCCCAGGCTGGTCTCAAACTTCTGGCCTCAAGTAATCCCCCTGTCTCAGCCTCCCAAAGTGCTGGGATTACAGGCCTAAGCCACCACACTCAGTCTTGTAGAAGATAATTTATAGAATTAAACATTTAATTAGAAAAGAAAAATCTCAAAACAATGACTTTAGCTACCACTTTAAGAAACTAGGAAGAGACAATTAAATCCAAAGCAAACAGAAAACTGGAAATAATAAAGATCAGAATGGAAACTGACCAAACAAAAAAACAAAAAATACAGAAAATGAAATCCAAAGCTGGTTCTTCAAAAAGATCAATAAAACATAAACCTCTGGTCAGAGTGATCAGGAGTAATAAGATAAACACAATTCTACAGATATTAAAAGGATAAAAGGGGTTTGGGAGATCTATTTCAAGACAATGTAAATAAGACTTAATGCTACTGAGACCAGGCATGGTGGCTCACGCCTGTAATCCCAGCACTTTGGGAGGCTGAGGTGGGTGGATTGCCTGAGGTCAGGAGTTCAAGACCAGCCTGGCCAACATGGCAAAACCCCATCTTTACTAAAAATACAAAAATTAGCTGGGTATGGTGTCAGACGCCTGTAATCCCAGCTACTCAGGAGGCTGAAGAAAGAGAATCACCTGAACCTGCGAGGAGGAGGTTGCAGTGAGCCGATATCACGTCCCTGCACTCCAACCCAGGCAAAAGGTCAAGACTCTATCTCAAAAAAAAGACTTAATGCTACTGAGCTGTACACCTAAAACTAAGATTAGCAAATTTTATGTTTTTATCACAATTTTTTAAAGGATAACAAAGTAGATCAAAGACCTAAACATAAGAGCTAAAACTATAAAACACTTAGAAGAAAACACAGAGGAAAGGTCTCACAACATTGAATTTGGCGATGATTTCTTGGATATGACACCAAATATACAGGCAACAGAAGTCAAAATAGATAAACTGGACTACATCCAAAGTAAAACTTTTTGTATATCAGAGGACAAAATCAGAGTGAAAAAGCAACCTACGGAATGGGAGAAAATATTTGCAAATCATATGTCTGATAAGGAGTGAATATCCAGAATGTATTAAAAACTCCTACAACTCAACAACAACAAAAAAACAAACAAACAACTCCATTAAACACTGAGTACAGGAATTGGATATTTCTCCAAAAGCACATGATAGAAAGATGCTCAACATCATTAATAATTATAGCAATGCAAATTAAAACTACTGTTATACATTACCTCACACCCACAAAGAAGGCTACTATCAAAAACAAAACAAAATAACAAGTACTGGCGAGGATGCAAAGAAATTGGAACCCTTGTGTACTACTGATGTGGATAAAAAATGATGCAACTATTATGGAAAACAATATGGTGGTTCCTCAAAAAATTAAAATTGCCATATGATCCAGTAATTCCATTTGTGGGTACATATTCCAAAGAATGAAAAGCAGAGTCTTGAAGAAATACTTGTTATCCACTATAGCCAAAAGGTAGAAACAAGCCAAATGTCAGATGAATGGATAAAATGTGGTATGTATGTACATGCTGTAGCATGTTATCAGAATTTCCTTCCTTTTTAAGGTTGAATAATATTCCTCCATCTATGTGTAGACAGAGAAGTATTACTCAGCCTTAAAAAGAAAACAAATTCTGATAACATGCTACATGAGTGAACCTTAGGCACATTATGCTAACAGAAATAAGCCAATCACAAAAAGACAAATACCAGGCCAGGCTTGATGGCTCACACCTGTGATCCTAGCACTTTGGAAGGCCAAGGTGGGAGGATCGCTTGAGGTCAGGAGTACAAGACCAGCCTGGTCAAATGGCATAACCCCATCTCTACTAAAAATACAAAAATTAGCTAAGCGTGGTGGCACACGCCTGTAATCCCAGCTACCCGGAAGGCTGAGGCATGAGAATCACTTGAACCCAGGAGGCAGAGGTTGCAGTGAGCCAAGATCATGCCATTGCACTCCAGCCTGGGCAACAGAGTGAGACTCTGTCTCAAACAAGGAAAAAAAAAAAAAAAAAGGACAAATATCATATGATTCCACTTGTATAAGGTAGAGTTGTCAAGTTCATAGAGACACAAAGTAGAATTGAGTGAATGCCAGGGGAAGCGGGTAGGCAAGAATGGGAAATCATTGTTTTTTGTATTTTTGAGACAGTCTCCCTCTGTAGCCCAAGCTGGGGGGCAGTGGCATGATCTCGCCTCACAGCAACCTCTGCCTCCCAGGTCCAAGTGATTATCATGCTTCAGCCTCCAGAATAGCTGGGATTACAGGTGTGCACTGCCACGCTCAGCTAATTTTTGTATTTTTAGTAGAGACGGGGTTTCACCACATTGACCAGGTTGGTCTCGAACTCCTGACCTCAAGGGATCCTCCCACCTCAGCCTCCCAAAGTGCTGGGATTACAGGCGTGAGCCACTGCGCCGGACCTAGGTAATCACTGTTGAATGGGTAAAGAGCTGCAGTTTGAGAAGATGAAAAAGTTCTAGACATAGATGGTGGTGGTGATTGCACAACAATGTGAGTGTACTTAATGTTACTCAATTGTACACTTAAAAATGGTTAAAATGACAAACTCTGTGTTATGTTTATTTACCATAAAAAAATACTTTAAAGAAAGAGGAGTTTCTAAAATATCTAGACACATCATCAACAGCTTCCAGGTAAAGGCACTATCGGTGTAGGATTGGTAGTGTCTTACATAGTAAAACATGCAAGAACAGTTTAAGCAAAGAAAAAGAAGAAGAAATACCTAGCTTTTATGCCTTAAGCCTATTTCAAATAGGAAATCTTTAACAGACTCTTTGATAGAATTACTTCACATTCTCCAAAGTATCTAACAAATTTTACTCATAGCACATAGAAAAAGATCTGTAGGACTTCAGTGTGCCCATTTCACAGTGAGATTAGGCGTTCTGCTAAAAACCACAAAGTTGATTCCAGCAGGAGAAATTTTAAAAGCCTATGGCTTGACGTTTAGAGCACCCTATGCTAATAAAACCCAATAAGAAAAGAAATGCCATAATTAAGTTGGATATGTAATCTGAGAAGTACCACAAGCCAACAAAACAAAAGGACAGCATCCTTTATACAGAAACTCCTCCATAAATTTTGGTTATATAAGTTCATATCGGGGCTGGGGCCAGGGAAGAAGGAACACTACTAAGTACCTTCTTAGTAACAGGCCCTTGTGAGGGGTTCAGTAAGACATGGTCCCCGCGCCTCAGTACCATCTAGTAATCTCCAAAACAGACTCGTCTACTCCCTCCCTTGAAATACTCCTTCAGCTTTTTCCCATGGGTCGACTAGAAGTTCCCCTCCTTGAAGAGGTTTTTCCTTTATCACTCTAAAGCTATCCTAGAATAGCTCCCTTTCCTTATTGCACTTTTCACCATCTCCAGTTATCATTACTATTATTATGTGATTATGATTACTACTATTCTTCCATGCACACTTATAATGTGAGCTCTAGAATGAAAGGCCCATAAGTGAAGAAACATCTTCACTGTACCCTCGGTGACTAGCACAGTATACAACCATTGTGAGCACGCAAATACTTACCAAATAAATGAAAACAAGAACTGTGACTACGATCAGCTTCCGATAACCAACTTTTCCCAGGCTAGCTAGCTAGCCCCAAATCCCCAGATTCGGCTCCCTTAGTTATGAGGGATTATACTGGGTACTCACCTCTACCTGAGTAACATTGATGACCAGCACCACCACCATCAACACTGCAAGCAGACAGCAGAAAAGCCGTAGTTTGAAGAAATTGGTCCACATTGTCCGGCTGTGTCTTGTTCACCCATGGCCAACACCATGCTACCTTCACTCTTTAAAATTCCATGTCTTTGTTTTTCTGAGCTGCAGATGAGCTTTCAGATTCATTTGCTTCTATCCTGCTAGTACCCTTAAGAGCTCTTATGTAGAGGAGAGACTGCAGTTGATTCAAGAAGCACATTTTTCTTCAAAGAGGAGAGATGAGAGAACATCACCAATTGCAATGGCCTAGGGTGGGGTGAGAGGAAAAACATCACACTTCCTCTTCCTTAACCTTATCTAAGGCCCAAAGTCACAAGCAGAAAGCAAAGAGACAGAGCACAGTAACGTCTTTTCATTTCCAGACAATCTCAAAGTTTCCTTTTCCAGTGTCAGGCTTCTGTGTAAACACATTATTTTCCCTATTGCCTATTTAGGTTTTAACTTTTAAGATAGCAAGGAAGTATGCCTTCAAACTCAGAAATTGTGAAATAAAAGTAACTGTTAAATTTCTACAGAGACCTCAGTCAATAAAATCACTTCCCTTCCCTTTCCCTTTAAATTATGTAACACTGCTACATTAACCACACTTAAAGAACATGAAGAAGAAACTGTTTTCACGAAGCTCTGGCATACTATGCAAAGCATCCTGACATTCTCTGGAAAACAGTAAGTGCCACCCCTCTCATACAGATGTATGGTAGGAGATGCGACACGCTCTTTAGGTTTCCAGCTCTCCCCACCACATATGTGGTCCTGATGCTCCCTCAGCTAAGTAGTAAGGCACAGGAGGACACACACCTGCCTGGAAGATGTGGGAGAGGAAAGTCAAGCTTGAAAAATGGGTAACAGGATCCCAAAATCCTACATCACACCTGCTAGAGGCAGGGGACTTCAGAGTCAGCCATGCCTAACTGTTCTCCCACGTAACAAATTCAAATGCTCTTTCCACTTGCCATTTCGATACAGGTAAGCAGAAAATGTTCTAGTATTCTATCCCCAGGGAGACATTCCATGAAGGGCAGGACACAGAAATAAAGGCAGAAAGGGTACAAAATCATGGTGCAGAGTATCTTAGAACAGCTCAGCTGCATCAACTCTCCCCTCCACTTTGTGTTGGACCTGGCAAGCCCCCATTCTCTCACTCCTCTGCCTCACCTGTCTGAACCAGTCCCAACCACAATGACAATGCCCATCAGCTTCACAAAGGAGACAAGGGTGAGCCATTCCAACAAGCTCTCCATCCTCAGAGTTCCCATAGTACTTATTATTTTCACTTCTCAGCTGATCTCTATTTGTATTTTTTTCTCCCTCACACTCCATTTGTATTTCTTATCTCTCAAACTAGACTACACCAATTATGACTATATTTTTTTTAAAAAAAAACATATATCAGAGAAAAGCAAGTTAATGATACTGCATCATACTTTTCTGATTTGCTCAAGGTACTTAGTTCTTTACATGGTACACAATGATTCAACAATCTACGCAACAAATAATTATGGAGGCCTACTCTGTACCACACACTGTACTAAATGCCAGAAATTCCCCTTGAAAAACTTATGCTCATATTAGACAAGATGTCAGTACCTTTTTAAGGAGAAATAAATCCACCAGTCCTGGCCACCTCCACAGGGATGCCAGGAACTGTGAAAGACTGTGCTTCTCCATTTCCTGACCCCTAACACCTCCTCTCTCCAATATCCAGGCACTCATTCACCTCAAACTGTCTATAACTTCTTGGAAGAAGCTGGCTGTAAAATAGAGGATAACTCTGTCATCAGGGTCCCAACTGTTCTGCTATCGAAATCCTTCTCAAAAAGTTGTCCATAAAAAAAAAAAAAAAAAGAAATCAGGTTTCCACGATGGCCAGAGAGAGAAAAGACCAAAGATGGTAGTCCACAGGAATTTAGTTGCACCATAGGCAGGTGTGGTCATGGGTTGTGCTGACACAAGCCATTTAAAGGACATCAGAGTGGTTCAGCCAGGCAGCAGCAGCACACAGCTGCCAGTGATGCAGAAGGAAGACAAGCACAGGAGACTCTAAAGTGAAAGAACTACAGGACTAGAGGCAGCAATGCAGGAAGCCCCTCCCAGCTAGAGGCTTCTACTGACAATAATTTAGGAGGATCGTGCCAGGAAAAGACCTGACTTTGTGCTGTAAGTAGAGCACTGACATTTGAGAGACCACATTTGTACACCTAAATAGATGTTGCGTGAGGCACACTAGACAGACCTCTCTTTGGGAAGATATACACTAGGCCGGGTACAGTGGCTCACACCTGTAATCCCAGCACTTTGGGAGGCCGAGGCAGGTGGATCACAAGGTCAGGAGATCGAGACCATCCTAACATGGTGAAACCCTTTCTCTACTAAAAATACAAAAAATTAGCCGGGTGTGGTGGTGTGCACCTGTAGTCCCAGCTACTTGGGAGGCTGAGGCAGGAGAACAGCGTGAACCCGGGAGGCAGAGCTTGCAGTGAGCCGAGATCGCACCATTGCACTCCAGCCTGGGCAACAGAGCGAGACTCCATCTCAAAAAAAGAAAAAAGAAAAGATACATACTCAATAGTTGTCACCTCTAGGCAGTTTTTGTTTTCTCTTTTATCTGTATGTCCTAATTTTTCACTGGGGAATGAAAATCACAAACACAAAGAATAAAGCTGGGCCAGGCATGGTGGCTCACGCCAGTAATCCCAACACTTTGGAAAGCCAAGACAGGAGGACTGCGGAGACCAGGACTTCGAGACTAGCCGAGGCAAGATAGTGAGATCCCAACTCTACAAAACAAAATTTTTTTTTAATTAGCTGGGCACGGTAGTACGCACCTATAGTCTCAGTTACTCAGGAGGCTGAGGTAGGAGAATTGTTTGAGCCTGGGAGGTCGAGCCTGCAGTGAACCATGATCACACCAATGTACTCCAGCCTGGGCAACAGAGCAGGACTCTGTCTCAAAAAAATAAATAAATAAAACAAAGAATAAAACCAATTTCTAAAAGTAAAAATTAAAGATGAGACATAGGAGAAACAAAGCATTAAATCATATCTGTGAAATCAATTCAACTTAAACTGAAAGATTTCTAAGTAAAAGAAGAAACCTAATTCACGGCACGAGGTGACTGTAGTGTAAACAACAAACTATAACAAGTTTCTGGTATTTTCCTATAAACATAAAACCTACGCATTATAACAAGAAAGCTATTTGCAAGGAGCCTTAAAATCAAGTAAGAACAACAGTGTTGGCAGGGAATGATTCTAGAAAAAAGTTCCTCAGATTAACCAAAAAAATAAAAATATATAATTCAATGTAATGTACCTCTTTTGGAAATTTTCCAAGAAAAGATGTTTACTGGAACTAGAAATTAGAAGTTACATCTAACATTCCTTCCAGCATGAAATTCTGAACTCAGCCAATTTTGATCAGAGATCCTTATTTTTTTATGCCACATTTGAAGCACACATCAATGTTTTTTTCATTTTTATACAATTCTTCTTGCTGCAACAAAAATATGCATATGATATAAAGGTTAAAGATACTTCAAATGAAGTAAAGAAAAACATTAGAAATTAAGAGTTCAATTTTACAGGCAGAGAGTTATACATGATACAGTGGGAGGAGTGGGCATAGGAACGTTTCCTTTTCCTTACTAATAAAAAATAGTAATTGTCTATTTAAATACATTAACTTCAACCTGGTAAATCACTCTCAGACCCTGGCAGAAGGTCAAAACTTTATAAATAGCAATATAAGTGAAAAAATATAAACCAAAGATAAAAGCTCCAAATGTTATTTTTCTTAAAAACTATTATAATTTTGTAGTTCAATGATCCAATGATTTTGTTTTCCTCTACAGAAAAAAAGGGGTATCTGTACAGATCTAAAAGTTATTATTCAAGGAATCTAAACTTGAGTGATCCTGTTTTCAAATGTCAGACCACTACTTACTCATGCTTTATTTTTATTAATACGTGCAAAGGACAAGCAAAAAGTTAAATGCATGCTCTGCCTTACATGTGGAACCCAGAATTTGTTGGAAGTGTTCTGCCAAGTTTTTATTAAGCCTGCTTCCATATCCAGGACTCGTAGTGGCCAATCTAACTTCTTTATGGCCTGTAACAACAACTCCAGACTGCCATTAGGATTCCTACCCCCATCTCACAAGAGAATTACAAAGTAGTCGCTTACATCATTTGGAATTACAATTATCAGTAACACAAATGAAATTCCTGAGTTCAATACTAAACAAAGAAAATGAGACAGCAACCCTATCCTCTGGGGAGCTAATGTTCTCAGGCAACCATTTTACAAAGATAATATATTAGAGGACAACTGCATAGAAACTGTCCAGTTTCTGAGGCAGTCCCTATACTGCCTCTTATACTCTGACCTGTTAGCCACATAAATGTAATTGTACTAGTCACAGCAAGCCTCTGGAACTTTAATTCAGAATATATACTTCAGAAGAATAGTAAGAGACAAAAGCACAGATTTACATGGAAAGTATCTACACTTAACTGCTTATATTTCAAACTTTGCAAAGAGTCGCCGTATTTCATAGAATGCTGAGTAAGACCATGAAACACGGCAGGATCTAAAGAATGAAGAACTAGAGACCCATCCAGGACCCCAACAATGACAGGTTAACCAAATAGGGTCAATCCTTGAAAAAAGATGAAGCAGGGGCACTAGTCTGCAGGACTTGTTTCCACAGATTCCATTCCTCCTTCATGTCCCCCAGCCTCACATGCCCAAAGTGCTGACTCATCTGGACTTTCCCTTGCCCTTCTTCCAAAGCAGGGCCCCATGTATTCATAGAGGTTACATGGCAGGTGGAGAAGTAATAAAATCAGTTATGTAAGTCACATCGTACTAAGTGCTATTTTTAAAATATTGAATACATTGATAGGTTGTGGTCCTCAACCCTGCATGAACATTAATCATCATCATGGAAGCTTTTTAAAATACAAATAACTGGGCCCCACTCAACCAATTAAATCAGAATCTATGGGAATAGGCCCAAGAAGCAGCTTTTTTTTAAAAGGTCCCTAGATGATTACAACGTACAGCCAAGTGGGAGAACCACTAGCATAGAGTGGCCAGGGGCTGTTATTCGTTTCAGTTGGTAAAAGGATGCCTTTTCAAAATGATGTTTGAATTGTAACTTAAATTGTCGGGGCAGGAAAACCCAATTCCTGGGCAATGGGGACAGCTTACCCCACTTCAGTGATTTATCCCTTCGTTTCCTTTCTCAGTAACAAATAACAGCACTCTACCAGCCCCAAAGAGATTGTGAGGATAACAGACATGGGGAAAAAAAAACAAAACTAAACAAAGTCAAAGAAAAGCTGAACCCAAACACTACAGAGAAATGGTATGCTGCTGCCTCCACTCAGACAATTATCAGGGTCTGGGAGTCCTGCCAGTTTCAAATGATAATTTCTGATGTTCCAAATGATAATTAACCACAGTGAGGAGGGGGGAGGCCCACCAGAGCAGTGTGATTCTTTATCTTTGGGAAAAGTGGCAACAATCCCCCTTTAACGTAAATCATGAAAAGCAAATAAAATTTACTATTTTGCACAAATGTTGCATAAATCCTGCCTCGGAACCCCTCTTATCACCACCCTAGTGGCCTTCGATCCGGCAGAAATGGGCAACAGGCCAGGGTCTCCATATCAGACCTTGTAAAGTTACACTCGTTTCTCCCCATACGACCTGAATCTGATGTCCCCAAACGGCAGCTCAGTAAGGCCAGAACAGTCCACCGTGTGACAGCAGCGCCAGCCAAGAGGCAGCCGGTGCCCAGAGCAGCGATGAGCCGAGAGACATGAGATGGGCAGGGAGGCGTCGCCAAGTGCTCCGCACCGGGTTAGTGAAGGTGCCTGGGGGACAGAAGTCCTTCGCTGAGGCGTAGAAGTCCGAACTGCACCCAGCTGTGCGGTTGCCGCAAGTCGAGGAAACTGAGGATGGAGATGCTCGCTCTCGGCCCCGCCCCGCCCCGCCCCGCCCCGCCGGTACTAGCCTCGGCTCCTGCTTCTCAGCTGCGACGCTTTGGCAACCCAGGGCTCCAACTCTGCCTACGCCATCGACCCGGACCTCCCCTCCGTGGGCCCTGCGCCCCTAGCCACGACCCCGGGGGCTGCACCCCTCAACACGGGGCTGGGGACTCGGGAGCAGATGCGCGCGGAGGGAGGGGCTTCGCAGTCAAAGAGAGAGCTAGATGAGCCGGGCAATGGGTCGCTCCGCCCGCAGCGGCCCCTCCCACATCCCCGCACTCACCTCCGGGACCCGCCCGCCCTTCGCTCCCCGGGGGCCAGGGATCCTGACGCCCCGGCCGGTCGCCGCTGCGCCAGGCCGCTAGCCCCCAGCTTCCTCACCCGGCGTCGTCTCCTCACCTCCGACCCCCGGCTACGATTGGTGGAGCTTCGGCGGGGGCGGGCCGAGGGCGTTGACTGACAGCAGCACGCGCCGGGCGGAACCCACAGGCCTGGAAGCGAAGTTGGCACCCTGGCGCTCCACGCCGCGGAGCTCCCGCTTGCGACGCGACACTGCAGCTGTCTCCCCGCGGCTCGAGGTCTCGCCCCTCTCGCGACCCAACTCCTCGTGACCTTCGGACATCAGAGTTTCCTGGGAGCATCCACCTACCTCAAGGCTTTTCGCTTGTCAGCCAAAGTGCCTACAACCGCAGTTGACTCTAGTGGGGCAGCCTTTCCTGTGCAGTGATGGAATTTATTGTGCCCTGAACCGGAGAAATGCGATTTGCCAAGTATGAGCACGGATATAGCGGATCCTTGAATCTTTTCCTTGCTTTGAAATTAGTCAACAACTTCTATTCCGTAAAACAGCCCGTTCCTTTTACTCTCACTGTACATGATGTCGGTCTCTTGGCAAAGCATACTTCCCTCACCCCCCACCATCCCAAATTCTGGGTTATCCTATTTTAAACATTTTTCTAACTGGTGAAACGTCGATGGCAGTTATGTGAACTTCAGGAACTGAGAGGAGTCCTGAGAAGACACTTGTTCAAGAAACCAGAAGGGATTGCGGTCTGCACCGTGTTTTTCTGTACTCGGAGCACAGTGGGGTTAACACAGGTCCCAAAAGCAGGCCTGCCCCCGGACTATTATCCCAAAGTTTAAGAAAAATAATTAATATACATGACAACTAAGTATTTTTCCTTTTCTTGACCATAATGGACTCTGCATGCTCATTCAGGTGCTTTCATGGCAGGCCTGCATCGTGGACAACCAGATCCATGAATAGGATAAAAGGAAGTTCTGCTATAAGGTGGAAGATCTCTTCTGTAGTAATGATCTGATACTCCTTCTTCCTCAGGAAATACAGCACTCTGGTACCTTTTGAGAACATAAAAGGTAGCTTCCTTCCGCTATCAAAGAAGAGCCCCATATACTAGACCTCTGCTCTGATTATGCTTTATCTCCCAGTAGGATCCCCCACCTCATGTACAGTTTGGCTGTCTTACAAGGGGTAAAATACTTAGGACAAGATGACTTCTAGGTCATGGTTTTGGACCTCATTGACCCCATTCTCCCCCAAGCACTCATAACCCTGAGGCATTTGAGTGATCTTACCTATATTTACCTATATTTTACAGTCATAACCACAAATAAGAGCAGCCCCGACCAGAAAAGCCCATCCATCACTACCAGTTTCTTAAAAGATTTCTCACTGCAAAGTTCCCACACTCCCACCTCAGCACATTCAGTGAAGAATACTGTCACGCACAGAGTATGCACTTCGGATCCTAGCCTACCTGGATGTTTCTTACTAGTAGTGCCATCCTAGGCAAATTACTTAACTTCTCTGCATTCATTTCCTCTACTGTAAATTGGGGGCAACACCACTGAATGTTCATTTATGATCATCTCACAGCCCGTCATGGTGGTTCACACCTGTAATCCCAGCACTTTGGGAGGCCGAGGTGAAACAGGAATTAAAAGACATTAAAGAATGTGTAAGCGACAACTTAGTTGTATGTAAGAAAACCCAATTCCCCCTGAGAAAGAGAAAGAGGTGGAGTCCTTTAAAAATTAACCGCCTGTTTTTCTGTGGCTAGTGAGCCTTATCTCTCCCTTTCCCAGGCATTGTGAAGACTCTGCATCTCTAGCTGTGCAGCTGCAAGGTCTCTAGGCAGATAAACTCAAGTCATAAAACACGTTGTTCCTTGAAAAGTAAGAAATGATGTAATGCATGTCTCAATTGAATAACTGTCTTTGTGTCTCGCTTCTGTAATATGCTTCCCCCTGCACAAATCTCCCCCCACCCCACAAAATGCTTAAAAGGTAACCGGACTCTTTGTTCAGGGCTCAGTCTTTTCGGCTGTTAATCTGACTGAGCCGGTGCACTTAAATAATAAATAATAAGTTTCCTCCTCAACCCCTCAGTCTCTCTGATTCCTAAATTGTCCTGCTGCAGAGGCAGGCAGATGGCATGAGCTTAGGAGTTTGAGATCAGCCTGGGCAACATAGTGAGACCCCATCTCTACAAAAAATATAAAAATTAACCTGGGCCAGGCACAGTGGCTCATGCCTGTTATCCCAGCACTTTGGGAGGCCGAGGTGGGAGGATCACCTGAGGTCAGGAGTGTAAGACCAGCCTGGCCAACATGATGAAACCCCGTCTCTACTAAAAATACAAAAATTGGCTGGGTGTGGTGGCACACACCTGCAATTCCAGCTGTTCAGGAAGCTGAGGCAGGAAAATCACTGGAACCCAGGAGCCGAGATCATGCCACTGCACTCCAGCCTGGGCAAGACTCCATCTCAAAAAGAAAAAAAATTTACCAAGTGTGGTGGTGTATACTTGTAGTCCCAGCTACTCAGGAGGCTGAGGTGGAAGGATAGCTTGAGCCTGGGAGGTTGAGGCTGTAGTAAGCTGTGATCGTGCCACTGTACCAGCCTGGGTGACAGTGCGAGGCCCTGTCTCAAAAAAAAAAAAAAAAGTTTATATGATTATATGAAACCAAAGGAACTGGTCATTTCTGTCCCATCTGCAAAAGTGGTTTAGACACTAGTGTTTATTAATGCTAAACTTGATTAAGCAAAACAAAGCATAGATCTTAAGAGTAAACAAAAGCAAATAAACCTGTCTCTGATGGCAGAAGCTTGAGGCACAAGCACATTAAGTATTTTTATATTTCTTGACCACAGTGGACTCTGCATTCATTCAGATATTTTCACAAAGGCCTACATGCATACTCCTGAGCCCAAGTCAGTTCCTCACTCAGTTCCTTTGCTTCCCCGCTTTGAATAAGTCATTGAAATTTGGGCCTCAAGGCCATCTACCTACTGAAAATTAAGTGATCACTGTCACATTAGGTACCAACCACTCTGTTCCAAAACACCATGAACAGTTGGAGGAGGCTGCCAAGGGTAAGAGACTAAAAGGGAGAGTATTGTGTTGGTCCATGCTCTCAAATTAATGGACATATTTTCCTTTTAAAAGTCATAATTGGCTGGGTGCGGTGCTCACGCCTGTAATCCCAACACTTTGGGAGGCTGAAGCAGGTGGATCTCCAGAGGTCAGGAGTTTGAGACCAGGCTGGCCAACATGGTGAAACCCTGTCTCTACTAAAAATAAAAAAAAATTAGCCAGGCATAGTGGCAGACGCCTGTAATCCCAGCTACTCAGGAGGCTGAGGCAGGAGAATTGCTTGAACTCAGGTGATGGAGGTTGCAGTGAGCAGAGATCATGCCATTGCACTCCAGCCTGGGTAATAAGAGCAAAACTCTGTCTCAAAAAAAAAAAGAAAGAAAGAAAGAAGAAGTTGTAATTAATGATGGCTAATCTCACACGCAGTTTAGGGAAAAATGAGATCGATTTTTTTCCTCCACTCTTGATTTCTCCAGTTCAGTATTCCCCTAATCAAATTTCACTGATAATCGAGGTAATATCAGTAGCTTTTTTTTTTTTTTTTTGAGATGGAGTCTCGCTCTGTTGCTCAGCCTGGAGTGCGGTGGCACAATCTCGGCTCACTACAACCTCCGCCTCCCGGGTTCAAGTGATTCTTCTGCCTCAGCCTTGACAGTAGCTAACAGGCATGTGCCACCACGCCCAGCTAATTCTTTTTAATTTTTAGTAGAGATGAGGTTTTTTACCATGTTGGCCAGGTTGGTCTTGAACTCCTGGCCTCAAGTGATCCACCTGCCTTGGCCTCTCAAAGTGCTGAGATTACACATGTGAGCACTTTGGGAGGCTGAGGCAGGTGGATCATGAGGTCAGGAGTTTGAGAGCAGCCTGGCCAATATGGTAAAACCCTGTATCTACTAAAAATACAAAAATTAGTAAGGCATAGTGGCACACACCTGTAGTCCCAGCTACTTGGGAGGCTGAGGCAGGAGAATCACTTGAACCTGGGAGGTGGCAGTTGCAGTGAGCTCAGATTGCGCCACCGCACTCCAGCCTGGGAGAAAGAGTGAGACTCTGTCTCAAAAATAAAAAATAAAAAAAAAAGAATATTGATCAGGCATTTTGTAGACTATCCTTCAACTTGGATTTGCCTGGTGTTTGTTTACTCATGGTTAGACTTGGGGGAAGAATACCAGAATGAAATGTCTTCACTGCATCAGATTAAGGAACATGCAACATGATTTCTCACTGGTGATATTAACCTTGATCATTTGATTGAGATGTTATATGCTATGTTTCTCTGTAAGAGTGGCTAATTTTCTTTTTCCATACTCCGTCTGTTAGTAACAAGTCACTAAGTCCAGCTCACACTCAGGAGAGGGAAATTAAGTTTTATCTTACGAAGGAAGGAGTATCAAAGAACTTTTGGGTACATGTTTAAACCATCATAATAATCAATATGTATTTAAAGGAAGATACTTTGAAGCTACACAAATATTCTATCTCTTCTTATAGTTTTGCCCACTAATTTTGACATTCATCCGTGGGTTTCTGTTGTAGCAATTATTATAGTGGTTTTCTAATGGTGATTTTCCTATGCCCTTCATTCTTTCTGCGTTTGTTATTTGGAAGTCTTCCGTAAGAGTTGTCCTTCTGTACCCTCTCTGAAAGGACTAAAAAACTAGGGGAAAAAAATGAAAGGGTTGTCCCTTCTTCTTCAGCTATTTATTTGTTCAATAGTTTATTTACATCAGGGTGCACTCATGGATGTTTATTTTATTCCTTGATTTATAATCTGTTATTTTGCTGCTCAAATTGTTCCAGCTTTTGCCATTGGGACCTCTTTCAGGTTGGTTCATG